TTAGACTTACGATCTGGATGCTGCAAGGTTCCTATGGCAGAAGCTGATCGCCAGAAAACTGCGTTCATTACACCAGATGGCCTGTACAAATTTAACGTAATGCCCTTTGGGCTTTGTAATGCGCCTGCCACGTTTGAACAACTTATGGACAACACACTGCGTGGACTGAAATGGTCTGTGTGTATATGCTACCTAGACGACATTGTCGTTTTCTTTCCCGATTTTACTACACATCTGCTTCGGCTCCAACTGGTTCTGACGTGTTTAACCAACGCTGGGCTCCAACTGAACGTTAAAAAGTGTCACTTCGCCGCGCGAGAGCTGTCCATCTTAGGGCACATCATGTCCAAGCATGGTGTTCTACCCGACACTGCAAAGCTGCGAGCAGTCGCCGAGTTCCCAAATTAAACCTACTACACTGAAAGAATTACGTAGTTTCATCGGACTATGCTCGTACTTCCGGCGCTTCGTTCGAAATTTTGCGTCGATCACGTCACCACTGACCAACCTCCTACGCGGTGACGCAGACCTTTCATCCTGGTCTCCTGGCTGCGATGTCGCGTTCGCCACGCTCCGTAGTCTGCTAACATCGACTACCGGAATCGCCGTTTCTGTTATATGTTTCCTCCCATTCTTCGGCATTTCGACCCAACAGCTGCAACGGAAGTTCACACAGATGCTAGCGGGGTTGGTCTTGGCGCTGTCCTCGCCCAACGCAAGCCGGGCTATTCCGAATACGTCGTCGCTTATGCGAGTCGCACGCTCACTAAAGCTGAGGCCAATTACAGCGTCACTGAAAAAGAGTGCTTGGCGCTAGTGTGGGCGCTTCGCAAGTTCCGCCCTTATTTGTACGGTCGCCCATTCGACCTGGTAACGGACCACCATGCACTTTGTTGGCTCGCCACATTGAAAGACCCTTCTGGCCGCCTAGCTCGGTGGGCACTGCAAATCCAGGAGTACGACATTCGCGTGATCTATCGCAGCGGACGCAATCATTCTGACGCCGACGCTCTGTCCCGTTCGCCTTTACCTCCCGACTCGGCCTGCGGAACCATTGGTACCAACTCCGTCGCATCTCTCGACCTCGACTCCTTTGTCAGTGAACAACACAAGGACCCGTGGATCACTTCCCTTTTTGACTGTCTCTCTGGATCGTCAACCACTGCGGTATTACGATCTCTCCGACGTTAAGCTGCTCATTTCGCCATTCGTGATCGGCTGATACACCGACGCAACTATGCCCCTGAATGTCGTAGGTGGCTATTGGTTGTCCCCCGCAGCTTGCGATCCCAAATATTCACCAGCTTTCGTGACAATCCCCAATGTGGCCATGCCGGAGTTTTCAAAACGTACGAACGCATTCGCCATCGCTTTTACTGGCGCGGAATGTATAATTTTGTTTGAAAATTCGTTATGGGCTGCCCTGACTGACAACGCCACAAATCACCGCCTTTCAGCTCGTCCGGTGCGTTTCAACCGCTTCCGTGCCCTGCCAAACCTTTCAATCAGATCGGAATCGATCTCTATGGCCCTCTACCGACAACATCAGATGAAAATCGGTGGATCATAGTCGCTGTGGACCATTTACCACGCTACGCTGAGACCGCCGCCCTTCTAAGTGCCACTGCACGGGACGTAGTGTCTTTTGTCCTCCATCGATTTATACTACGACATGGTGCTCCTCGAGAACTATTAAGTGACGGAGGTCGAGCCTTCCTATCAGAAGTCGTCACGGCTCTGCTTTCTGAATGCCATGTTCTTCATCGTAAGACCACGGCATACCATCCGCAGACTAACGGGCTCACGGAGAGATTTAACTACGCCCTCGGCGATATGCTCGCGATGTATGTGGCATCTGATCATACTAACTGGTATCGCATTCTTCCAATCATCACGTTCGCATACAACACCGCGGCACAGTCTACCACTGGATTTTCACCTCTCTCTTTTTTATGGACGCGAACCATCCCACACCGTCGACACTCTCCTTCCATACCGTCCTGACGCATCCGAATGCCCATCTGTGTCCGAAGCTACCCGAAAAGCGGAAGAGTGCCGTGAACTCGCACGTACCTTTACGTCACAAGAACGGCAGCGCCAGAAAAAAAACAACGCCGACTCTTCTCGAAGCCACAGCTATTCCCCAGGATCATTTGTAAGGCTGGCTGTTCCTTACCAAACCCCCGGCCTTTCCTCAAAACTCATCCTGAAGTACGAGGGTCCTTACCGCGTTTTGGAACCAACCTCGCCGGTGAATTTTCTTATAGAGCCACTTTCCCCATCTGACGACATGCGCCGGCGTGAACGGACGTCGTCCACGTCGCCCGCCTTAAGCCATATCATAGTCATCTGCCTCCAGACTCTTAGGTCGCCAGGATGGCTCTTTTTCGGCGGGGGAACATTGTGAAGGAGAAAACGCATCGTTGGCAAGCAACATCACCACCGCTTGGGTACTGGGTGCTGGGCTTCTCTCGCTCGCCTCGTGCTGATCGTCGCCGGCATCTGCTTGACCGTTGCTCTTTCCCGATCGTGTTTTCGTCGTAGGGCCACCGTCGCAATACACGCCAATAAACTTCTTTTCACTAACTCTTTTCCGAAATCCAAATACGATGTACTAACAGCCCATAAACTCTTGCGTTTATAGTTGTTTTACTGTACTCCCAGAATTTATTTATCGCCTGTTATATTTTTTATGTTTTGTTATGCGAGTTATTTCCGCTTGTGTTCTTTATTTGCTCATAGTAATCAGTGTGTACCCTCATATTGTTACATTGGTTAGGAACTTACAGCCTGGATGTACGACTCACCCCCCCCCCCCCTTATGTAATGCCTTCGGGCCCTTAAGCTTGAATGAAATTCGGTGTTCTTGGGCCCGACTCTCCAAATACGCAGAGCTTCGCCCGTAAACATTAGTATATGGGTCACAAAGCGGCCAGAGTGAGCCGCCAGGGACCAAGCTCTCCTGGCCGCTTGACCAACAAGCCAAGTTCCTTGAAAATGACTAGACTTCAACTCCATGTGGTCCTTAATAAATGTTTCTGCTCTTCCTCGTCACCGCCGAAGTAAATTAATAAATGCAATTACAACAAGTTGGAACGTTATGAGAAGTAAGACCATAGCAACTCCCTGCATTGATAAACGCGGCCGTTGCCGCGAGTGGAGTGGCATTCTTGCGGTCTGTGGCCCCGACACAAACAATCTCATGACAGCTCGATATTTACAACGCAATGGGGCTTTTTCTGGTCGCCTCTAAAGATACAGGGTACGGCGCGCGCACACGCGGGAGACCACGCCCAATTTGACAAAGTACGCGTTTCTTCTGTCCCCGGTCGTCCGGCTCTTGTTTCCATGTTCATTTCGCGCGACCAAGACAGCCGTCTCGTACAACTATGCTCGAGTACCCTGTCGGCAGTGTGCATTCGCTCGTTCATGGAACACAAAACACGCGGGGCTGTGTTGCTGATTTTGACTTTATACGAAACATTACGGCACCGGCATAAATGCTCCTGAAATGTTTATATAATTGCTACTCCCATAAAATACATTTGACTTTCGGCAGGACACCGGTAGCACGTAACAGGAAAAACCCTAGGTCGCACTCGAAATACTTAGGTTGGCACACAAACTAAAGACACGTGTTGACTAAGAAGCTCTGTGATCTAAGCATACAGGTTTTAGAAGTAACACTTCCGGAAGTTTATTTCTTGTTTCCACCAGTTGACTCACGCATCGTTTGAAATAAACATTCGACTACAGCGGAACAGGCGTTTCCGCAGTATTCAGCGACATCCGGTTGATGGTTATGGGACGACAAAAAAATGCCACAATTGGAATCTCTTATTATGCATTGACTGCATGAACTCGTGCACACGCACTCCTATACAAAGAACCTTGTAGATTTTGTGCATTCGTAATCAAAGCTAGCCACCACGCATTTCTCTTCCTGTGAGTACAAAGCGTTGTCTTGCGAAAAATTTGTTACATTCTAGTGTATAATCTTTAGTTTCAGATATTTATTACCCCGTTTACATTGAAATTCCACACATTTTATATCTGTAAACATGACACGGAAATTATAAGCTTGCAGAATAATTTCTGGGTCACCGATTTTCTTCTGAAGAAGTTGTTTAGTGAATAATAATTTTTATACTGTTCGCGGGGCACAAGCGGCCTCGGATGAGATTATTTATGACGCGTGTGAGATGTTTATCAGAAGTAATATATACGAAATCGAATTCAAGGCACTCCTTACAGCACAAATTATGAGCAAAAAGCTTTCTAATAGATAATGCTCATCTCTTATAGATGCAGCACAGCGCACAGAAGTGTTTTGTCCACGCATGAAAATATTCGTAGAAAAAAAAGCGATACTCGTTTAAATGCCCACGGCGTGTAATTTCAGGATCTAGCCGATGAGTATTCACCTAAAACAAGCCGGCCGTTAAACGAATAACAAGACCGCATATAATATAAGGTTGAGCACAGGTCTACAATAGAGCGGCATTCGTGAGTGCCGATGGCGTATGCGGACGTGGGCAAACTTTAGGTGTGTATGTCAACGGAACGAGTACATGCATATTAACTGGCACCCAACGTACGCTAATTGTCAATAAACATGAAAATAATGCAGGTTGACAAGTACATGACAGGCTATGGCAACATACATGATCACAAAACAAGCGAGTGCTTGCTTTAATTGCATCAGGCATTCTTCACCTTTCCATGTTCTCCCCACTAACGCTTTCAAAATTATTAAACTTATAGCCACCACCCTGTGCCGATCAATTTTATTAACTGCATGTACTCATTCTCGTACACTGCTCGAAATGTTGAATCACTCCAGCCCTGCCATGCACCTCCCGTAGCTGCATGTTGCCTGCACTTACTGAAATCGAAGCCACTTTTTGTACAGGTGTTCCTATTTTATTTTATCTTCGACTGAGCTCACTAAACCCTCACATTCCTTCATACTCCGGCAGATTTATTCGTGGAGTCTTACAATGACACAAAAAGGCCTGGCTCAAATGATTGACGGCGACTACTACAGTTCTTACTTCAATCCCGACGTGGTTCGCCAAGCCCTGAGATTTATCCCGGGCAGGGGCGACATCGTACAGATGGCTTTTCCCGCCTCCGGCACCCACTGGATGCAGCAGATTACTCAACTCATCGTTCACGGAGGGCGAAGCGCCAGCTCCTACCGAGAGTTTGCCAGCAGGTTCCAGTTCCTCGAGTACGTCGGTACACCGGCAGGTGTAGAGTCCACGCAGTCACCCCGGTTTCTTCCGACGCACCTGCAACCGGGACAGATCACCGTGGCACCCGAGGCGAAGTACATCTACGTGGCCCGCAATCCCTGGGACGTCTGCGCTTCGCTGTACGACCTTCAAGGGGAACTTCGTGGACCCAACGGCGGGCAAACGTTCGACGAGTTTGTGTCCCTGTTCCTGGAAGGGCTAGCGGGACCCGGAGACTACTTTGAGCACGTGCGCGCGGCCTTCCAGAGAAAAGACGAGCCGAACGTCTTCTTTGTGACGTACGAAGAAATGACGGAAGACCACGGAGGCGTTGTTTTGCGCCTCGCAGACTTTCTCGGTAGCGAATATTGTCGGCCGCTTCGAGAAAACTCGGAACTACTAGATGAAATCGTCAGGAAGTCCACCTCCGAATACATGAGAAACATGTTGGCCCCGCCCACGCAGGATGTAAACAAATGGCTGCCAACTAAGGCGGAAAATGTGGGCACGGTAGGTTCGAAGGGCAGCGGCAATCCGAAAAGCAGGGTTCGTTTCCTTAGAAAGGCTAAAGTCGGCCGCTGGAGAGGCACGTTTAGTAAGAGCAGTCTGCAGCAGACATTAAAGGTGATCGATTCGCTACCGCAACCACAATATGTGCAACTGTTGTGGAAAGACATATATAATCAAGTACTCGACGCCACACGTCAAGCTCGATTTTTTATCTCTCTTAGATAAGGCGGAATATGGCCCAAATAAGTGCGAGTGCCTCGTATAATGTTCTCCAAAGTGAATGGTAACATGCTACATAAATTCACTGCAAAACCTTTACATCGTATATGTCGTTCATCCACTCAATAAACTTCTGTACGCACGTAAATGCCTCCCGTACATTTCGGTGCATCTTGTTGAGCCAGCAACTAACGATTCTTAAATGCAAATTTATAAATCTTTCATTATTGAGTCTGTCTATAAATTGACATCGTACTGATAAATGCAGTTCAGTAACCTGAAGTCAAAAACGGCTGTTAAAAATTTCCAGTCATTGAATTAACATGGGCTTTCGGCCTTTATTCAGCATAGAGGCTTTTGAGTCTACATGATTGTAGTGAGATTGGTAACTTTGAACATATGCTCTGGCGATGCCCCTCGTTAAGAGGCCCAAGTCGGCTCACAGGAGAGGATTGGGACTCTACCTTACGAAGTTCCGAGTTACCACCACAACCACGGCCTGTTCAGTGCCACGAGGCGGCGGAGAGGCTAGGCCTCCCCGTCCTCAAGTGGAAGCGGCCCACAACGTTGCTCTAAAGGAGTAGCGATTATCAGGACCCAATAAAGTTCTCTGTCAGTCTGTCTGTCTGTCTGCCTGTAAGCCTCGTGCGCTGATGAATTTTTTTCGTGTGGGTGGACGTTGGGGAGGCGCAAGGTAACATTCAGATGGTGTTTGATAATGGCTACTCAACGGATTTGCGCGATTGGCATAGTGACAACAAACATCCTCACCTACCACTAAGTATATTGACTATTCAGTAGCCGCTTGAAAGATGAATTTCGTGAATTTCTCGAGCACGTGCTGAGCGCTATACATGCCACTCCACACGCAGGAGTCTTAGGTTAGGTTAGGTTAGGTTAGGTTAGATTACCCACCTTTTATTTTGCTCCGCGGACGTAAGGATCACTACTGTTTTATCACACGTAAAGGGCTGCCTATCTTTGTGTAAGAGGGTATCGACCGCAAAATATGGTGAAGATGTATACAGGCTGCACGTATATACCAGGCCGCTCTGCAGGTATATTCAGGCGGTTTCACATAGAAAGAATGAAATTTAAAAAAAAAAGTGTCGAACCTAACCAAAGAATCTGATGACGTATGGTTTACCGTCATCTGGCGCTCGTTAAGGTACAATTCATATTGCGCTTGAAATAGTAAATACCTAAGATTGATTGTGGTATTTTTTTAAATATTTATCTTAGGGCCTCTTAAGTTCGTTAAGTTAAGTTGAAGAAGGCACAAATCCGATCATTTGTGGCCAAATTCTATATGCTTGGTGATGCATTCGGCCGCGAAAAGTAGAGAACAATTTCATAACTTCAAATTTGGTTTATTGCTTTTTAGAATGATAATACCTTCCTTAATATTCAGAGCCCCACACATCTTTTTTTTTTTTTGCTTATAGACTGAGTGCAAATGACCAGGTTTAAGAACCAACAGCAAAGCCCCCCCTTTTCTTAAACCACGCACAACCTGAGCATTCTGGCTCTAGTTGGTTTACCAAAGCTGACAAGTTATCTGAGCTTAGCAGGTTATCAAAAAATATCCCCGGCCAAGAACGCTGTACAGATGGTTAACCGACGAAGCTGAAACAAGCGGCCCACAGTTAAGCGGCGAGTTAATCCCGACGGTGTATTGAATCTCTTCTTACCGGTTTGTACAAGTTTAAAAACATCGAAATCTGCCGTTTTTTTTTTTTTATTTGAGAATGCTGAAGATGGCTTCTCTGAGCTTGTCGACGTACACATATAGCACATACCGCAGGGTCATTGCTCCGAAGTTTGACGCGTTCGAGAAACGCCATCTTCTGCACAGAATGTCGTTGAGTGTTGTCACCGTGTACCGTGCATGTTGCATTCGAGCAGCTTAATTAGGCGGTCCCAGTGAACTTCAGGGGCAGACAAAGTTATAAATTCCGATGTCTTGTCGAGCTGCCTTGTCATTGTGACCACCTCCTCCATTGCGTTCCCGCCAGCAACAAACCATGTTTGGGACTCTTGGTTTTGCCTCAGTCAAGTGCCTCTCTCTCAAGTCACCGATGCTGTTAAAGAATTTTTTCGTTCTTACATGTAGGCGCACACTCCGAACTACAGGGGATATTCGGGCTGTTTCCGCTTCCGCTGCTGTGAAAATTTATTAATAAAGTTATGGGCAGTGGCGTAGCCAGGAAGTGGCACATCAGGCCCGTACACCCCCCCCCCCTCTCCACAATTTTTTTTCGCCCTCTTAAAATCAAGGAGGTGCACCCCCCAAAAACATTTCCACCTACGCCCCTGGCTATGGGTCATACGTTTTCGTGGCACACGAAAGCTTTATGCATGGCTCGTTTCGTGAGCATAATATCATTGTTAAAATACCTTAATCCTCAAAATTGAGGCGTGGTGAAACTATGGTAGTGAGACTCATGACAAACCACAATTGGGGACGCCGTTTCACCTGCACTCAACTGTGGTTGCAATGGCCAGAAACCGAACCCGAATCTTAGCAGTACCACAGTTTATAGCCGCTGAGTTACTGTGATGCACTCTAGATACAAGTTTGCCTTGCTCATTTGAAGCATGGGGCCCTCTAACACTTTTCACGACCTGATTGTTCTACATGCTTTTCTCGCTGGTTGCGTACGGTGAAGGCTTATAAGTGCCACAAAAACGGCAGCGATGGGGTCACGTGCGTAGTGACAAGTTATTCAGCGCAGAAAAATCAAAATACACTAAAATGAACGGATACCCTCAAACTCGGCTTCCCAGGATCACGTGACCATGTTTCCCTTGTCCTGTGAGCTGAAAGCAGCTGCCACACGGAAAGCGTGCGTACCATATCGCCCATTATTTCCAACGTATTGAGGACGCCATTGCGATAAATAATGGTGTTCTTGGATAGTGAATGGCCCGTGCGAAACGAGGCAGCTCGCACACGCCTCTATAATGTTTTGTAGCTTTACTGATCTTTCTTTTTGCGATGGTATCTATATATCAACGCTCTTACCCTTTTTTGCTCTAGTTTTTTTTTTTTCATACAACAGGACCTGGAGTAAACGTTTACTCTAGCAACGCGGCGTTCGACGCATTCTTTGGCCAGCTTTGCAGTTTTCAAGCTAAAAAGTCGGGAAGCTTCATTTTCTCCCGCGTTCAGGAGAAAGAAAACCAATAGCAATCACTATTTTGATACAGTGCCACAATTACATCAGCCGTAACATTTATCCAATCAGAGGCCTGCGCCCTCCGTCGTCATATCCGCTCGCAATAGTTCTGGCGAGCGCCACTACGAGTTGATGCGGTCTGCGCCGATATTTTGAAGCATTAGAGGGCCACTTTAAGCTTCGAGTGGTTATAGCCATGCAATACTTAGAGCCCATACGTGACCTAACAAAATTATGATGGTAAGGCTTTTGCGATTGTCCCAAAGAAGGTGCAATGCTTGGCTACCACAAACCTAAGTAGAGCTTTACATCACTGCGACCAGAGCTGAAGTACGACGGGAACCAGCCCCGTGTACCTTTAGAGGCTAGTTCATTTTGTCGCTGCCAGAGTGGCCACACAATTGTGACACCGATGTCGCTACCATGTACAGATCTCATTGATACAATTCTCAAGGGCAATAAGTATAGAGATGCATAATCAGAAAACAGCATTATATAAGAGAGAGCCATAAAGATCGGAAACAGTACATTCTTAAGACAACACTTGTTTTAGTTAAAAAACTTTAAAACCCCTCCGTGCTGAATGTTTTCTTTTTCGATGTCCCGCAGGAAGGTTTTTGAACTCGTTGAAATCAATCGTAGTTTCATGACTGAACCCCCCTGCTCATTAAACACGTCTAAAATGCATAGTCAATAGACTGGCTCATGATTGTCAGTGCATCCTAATACCTCTTCATTGTCATCCCACTACCGTGCACAGCTTGGTGCCTCGACGGGGTCGGTGCCATGCAGGCGTAGGGTCTCTTGGCACAAGGTTTCAAACCCTGCGAGTATTTCAGACGTTTTCGCATTCGTACATTACGAGGCATCATTGACATGAGCTATACAGTGCTCTATGAAGAAGCATATGAGTGGGCGTGAAACAATTGCGCGTAGGGCTCTTCACCCGTATTGCTTGGCTGCCGCTACACTTTTATCAATATGCATTAAATCACCATCTCGCTTCTGCCGCAGTATTATCCAATCCTACACAGAGATATAATAGCTCTCTCTGTGTAGGATCGGATAATACTGCGGCTCTAGCCGCGCGTGTGCGTTACCCCTATGGCGCATCGTCCAGGAACAGAAATGAAAGTCTTGTGCCAAAAATTGCATCAACCGACATCGTATCTACGTGATTTCACTGTACAGTGCCCATGGAATGAAACCAGACATCACAATTTAAGGCGTAACAGCTATGTAAAAAAGGCTCAAGAATACCGACAGTGTTGCAACAATTATGACCAGTAATGTAGAGCTGGCTCTAATATATGAGTAATAGCCAACATTACACCAATGTGACATCAACAAAACACAGCCCAGTAATGTGGTGCTGGCTCTAATATAAGTGTAATAGCCAATATTACACCAATGTGACATCAACTAAACACAGCGTGAACATATTTATGTGCATTGACTTCACCACAAATTGAAGCATCCCATTCCATAAGCAATGTACAATGCTTATATGGTATGAAACCTAACATCAACACTTTCTGAATAGGTACTAGAATTTGCAACTGCTTAAAGTAGCCTTGTCATGTTGCCATGACACTTACCGTA